CAATCAAAAGATCTCCACAGTAGCTTGGTGAAATACAGCCCGATAGGGTGGCATTTGTGCTAGCGTATATATATATATATATATATATATATATATATATATATATATATATATATATGAAAATTTTAAATGACTTCTCTGATTATAACTATTTAAATCAACAGCAAAACATCGAAAATACTAATTTAATTAATGCTCCTATCGGTAGAACTTTTTAAAAGCACTAAACATAAAAAACACATAATCTATTAGTAGTATACAACATCGAATATGGCTAAAGTGAACTGAATGTATTCGTTGTTCAAAACCAATATACGCACCCCCCCATATATATATATATATATATATATATATATCAAAGGGTGGGGTTGTTTTCAGCCACCCATACAGATGTCGTTTCAATAAACTCACTGTTTAGTGTTCCAAAGAAAAATATTTTGAGAACAGATGGTAGAAATCCTCGGTGGTTTTGGGAATTTATTTTTGTGTTAAAGAATTGATCAAAGACTAAAAACTTATCTTTCGATACAAATGCCACAAGAACACAAAAACAAAATACCTCCAAAATCATAAATCGTTACATAAATACATAGATTATTAATGCATTTACGTACAGAGATGTACTATATGCAGACACGTGTATAGAATAGAATAATTTTATATATATATATATATATATATATATATATATATATATATATATATAGATTGATAGATAGATATGAATGTATGTGTAAGAGTATTTTTGTATAATTATTGATTTTGATATTATATATATATATATATATATATATATATATATATATAGATAGATAGATAGATAGATAGATAGATATGAATTTATATGTAAGAGTATTTTTGCATAATTATTGATTTTGATATCATTTGACATATATATATATATGTTGATAGATAGATAGATAGATATGAATGTATAAGTGTATTTTTGTATCATTATTGATTTGTGCGTGTATATAACTATATATAACTGTTTCTTTATTATAGAATTTAATAAGATGTATTCATATAATATTAAATGAATTTTGCTAAAATATTCGACACTAGATATTTTATATATATATATACACAGATGTGTGTGTGTGTGCTTGTGTGTAATGCAATATATAAAATTTTTCACTTATCCTATGAATGATTTTATGCTACACGGAATTACATTCTTATTACAATAGACTTGAGAGGAAATTGTGTGTGTGTGTGTGTGTGTGTGTGTGTCTGTGCGTAGACATATCTTAGGAAAATGTATTAGAGAGTGAGAAAATTCGGTATAACGCGTTTCGTCCTCTACAAAGACTTCATCAGACTAAAGTAATTCTTTTCTTAATGGAATTATACATGTGCTGGAATCGCGTGCGTCGGTTACACTTAAGCGCCTGGAAGAAATGCTGAAAATCTGGAAACATTGAAATATAAAATTTTCAAATTTACTTTTTTTTTAGACGTGTTTGGGCATACACTCGAGACGATCTCATTAATTTTCCGTTTGCTTTTCTATTCTTTCTTCTTCCACAGGACGAAAATTGTTACTCATAATCTTTCCTCCTTGTCATTCACTTGCCTATAATCATTCTGATAAATAAACATAAGTATAGCATATTCTCCTATATACATTTATTATACACTTGAATTAGAATATATATATATATATATATATATATATATATTCATATATATATATATATATATATATATATATATATAAATTCACCAACAGGGATCGAACCTGTATCCCATAAGGAAACCATCCTTTTTGTCTGAGATGCTATTAACTATTAAGACACGGAGAACTTTCCGGTTAGCAAAGCGGAAAGTTATCTGAGGCTGAATGGTTAATAGCACGTCCGGCCAAATGACAGGGATACAGGTTCGATTTCTACGAACTTTCTCGAACATTCAAGCCAGTAAATGTAATTAATACTGTTTAATTAAAAAAACAGAGCATTTACCCAAATAAGTTTTATCCAAAAATATAAGGTATAAACAGAAAGTATCTTAAATTTTTGTCGGATTTAATCAATATATATATATATATATGTGTGTGTGTGTGTGTGTGTGTGTGTATAACATTATATAAAAAATATAAATAACTCGTTAGGTAAATAATCCAAAGTTCCTTGGCATTTTAGTTATTATTTTTTAAAAATAGTGCTCTATACAAAAGTAGAGCATAAATATAATTATTTATTTAAAATTATTTATTTAAAATGTATTTAAAAAATCATATTTTTAAATAAATATATTATATATATATATATATATATATATATATATATATATATATATATATATATATATATATATATTTTTTTTCTCCTCCATTCTGCTTTTTATCCTTTGCTCAACCCTCATACATTTTCCCTTACTTACACTCTGTAGCCTCTTGAGTGCTAGTGGCACTCTCACCTTTTTGGGTGAAATGCTTTAAAAAATACACACACACACACACATATATATATATATATATATATATATATATATATAT